GCTTCTAGAGTTTTTGATTGATTCATAGTCCATTGCTGGGATCACGGGTGTGAGTGCTATACCTGCCCCTGGGGCAGATAGTTTGCATACAATATAAGGGAGGGAAAGAGGCTTGCTCTTGGTGCTCCTTCCCTTTTTGCTCTTGTTGCTTTTGCTGTTTTCTGCTGCCCCGAACTGTTGCCCTCTGACATGTGCCACTCTGCCTTGGAGCCAGCGGAGTATGAAACCTCCACAAACTGAGCTAAATAGACCTTCCCTTCCTTAGTTTTGGGCATCGGGTATTTTATCCCAGCAATGAGAGAAAAGTTACCAAGACAGGCTCTAAACTCACTGTGTAGCCCAGGCTGGCCTCAAACTCACAGTCATCCTCCTGCCTCAGCCTCCTAAGTGCTGGGATTACAGGCATATGCCACCACACCTGGCTCAAGACTTTGCTTTGAGAAGAGAGCACTGGATCAGAGGGCTACAGAGAAAGGGGTTTCCCCATGCACAGCTGTCCCAGATCTCAGAGGCTGCTGATGGCTGAGTGACTCCGGCTGGCCATAGACCTTGCTGTTGTCCACACGATGGTGGCTCTGCAGGCTGCAAAATGCGAGAATTGGGGGTCTCTGCAGGCAGCCCCAGGGAGTGATGCATGAAGCTCTGTGAGCAAGGTTGAAGCTGTGATGAAGACTCCAGGAAGCTTGAGATGCCAGGGACTTGGAGTGTCTGCCACAGGAAGTGACAGGCAGCAAGCAGACCCAACCCGGAGAGCTCTATGTGGGCTGCAGCCAGCAACGAACGTCATGGCCGGGGGATGCCCAGACCCTTTGGAGCTCACATCTCACCACCGTGTGCCCCAGATACTGGGCTGGAGCAATAGGGCTTAATGTTTGCCCGGCTGGGTTTTGGTTTTGCCTTGGTCCTGTCTGTGTCTCCTCTCTATGGCCCCATTCCTCCCTCCTGGGTTGGCAATATTTACCCTGAGTTGTGGGTACCTACAAGGGGGAAAATATAATAGGTGCCATGGCACTGGGAGAGGGGGATTATCAGTTTGCAGGCATCAGCAAGGGAAGAATGAAGAAGATAGTAGTAGGAGAAGAGGGCATTTAAAACTGAGATTACAGTGCGGTTATCAGTAATGCATGATCTAGGGCAGGGGTGCCCCGGCTGTCTGCTGGTGTGGTTTTACTGGAGGACAGCCAGCCTGTGCTTTCGCACTTGGTGCATAGCTGTTTTCACAGGACAACAGCAGAGCTGAACAGTTGTGATAGAAAGTGTAAAGCCTGCTAAGTCTTAAATATTTACTCCCCGGTTCTTCATGGAAGTTCGCTGAACCCTGGTCTAGGGTGTGCATGGCTGGGTTGGGCTAAGCAGGGGCCCAGGAGGTACAGGAAATGAGAGGTGGGGTGTGCTCCGTCTTTCTCAGGGACCTTGAGGTTGGCCACTACAAAGGTGGCCACGCTGAGGGAGTGACCATGAGCTGGGAATGAACCAGGTGTCGGGTGAATGGACACTCACTCCGTGTTGTAGTTTAAATACGAAGTGTCCCCCCAGGACTTGTGTCTGTGGGTGTGATCTCCAGCACAGTGCGTTCGGAGGTAGGGCCTGCTGAAGTGACCGGCCATGGCAGTGCCAACCTCAGCGATGCTTTGACCCACACGTGAATTCGTAGCTGGGTGGTTTTTTGGATCTGGGGCCCAGTGGGAGTAAGTGGGATACCGTTGCAGGGTCTATTCCAGCCCCCTTCTCTCTCTGCCTGTATTCTTGCACACGCTCCCCCCACCCCCTGCTTCCTGGCTTCCAGGAGATGAACAGCTTTCCTCCACCACGGTCTTCCACCATGACATCTTCACCTTGAAGCCAGCTTACCATGGATTGAACCCTCTGAAACCATGAACCAAAATAAACTTCTCTTCCTTTAATTCGCGTATGTGAGGTGTTATGGTTTGTGTCTAGATATCCCCCCAAAGCCTCAGGCAGTCACGGGGGCAGGCTTCTAGAGTTTGTAATTGATTTATGGTCCAATGTTGAGATTATGGGTATGAGTGCTACACCTACCCTGAGGTGGGTAGCATGCATACAATATAAAAGGGAGAGAAATATAAAAGGGAGGGAAAGAGGTTTTTTCTCTCGCTCTCTTCCCCTTTTGCTCTTGCTGTTTTTGCGGTCTTCGGCCACCGTGAACTGTTGCTCCTCTTCTATACCACCCTGCCTTGGAGGCAGCTGATTATGGAATGAAACCTCCACAAACTGTGAGCTAAATAAACTCTTCCTCCTTTAACCTTGGGTGTCAGATATTTTGTTCCAGCAATGAGAGAAAAGTACCCAAGGCATGAGGTATTTATTTTGTCCCAGAAATGGAAAGGTGACTAACACCACCCACACACAGGTGTTTGAAAGCAGAACTCAAGAGGCAGAGCGCTGTCACGCTCTTTATTCCAGATCAGAAGGCTAAGGGCAGAGGCCTTTTTGCACCTGTTTCCTTCTTGTAACTTCCCTGCTGGGAACCCTAAAGGCTCCTTGGGCCACTACGGACCCACACCGTTACTATCCCAGCTTTAGGATGTGCATTCTTCCCCTAGCAGCTTTGCTGATGCGCTGAGACAAAAGGAACAGGAGAATGGAAAGAAAGCGCTGTGGGCATCCCAGACTACTCCTCAACAACACATCCGTTCTCCGTGCCATGTTCCCTGCTGCGAGCCCAGCTCACATCTCACTGGTACAGCATTCCCCCAGCTGGGAGGACACAGGAGCCCAGAACTGGCGGAGCTCATTTTCTGTGCACTGGTGTCTTGCATGACAAAGGAAGATCATCCAGGCAGATGAGCGGTCCGTTCCTGCCTTCCTGTATTTCCCAGGGCTCTGTTATCTTCTGTGTCCCATCCTATCTTCAGCCTGCCCTGGCTACCATCTTCTCTGATGTGACAACAGCTCTTCTACCCAGGATGCTGCAGAAGTAGTCATTTGCTATGAAAGCATTACATACTTTGAGACGGGATGGCCTAGTTTTAGAGGACGTTCAAGAGCACTAAGCCCTCAGAGTCTCGAGACTAGGACTACGTTCCTGATCGGCTTTGTGCACCAGGTGCTTGTTGTTGTTGTTGCTGCTGCTGCTTTAATTGTGCTTTTGTGATTTGAGACAGTCTTGCTCTGTAGGGCAGGCTGATCTTGAAATCATGGCAATTGTCCTGCCTCAGCCTACCAAGTGCTGGGCTTAGAGGTGTGCGCTACCATATCCAGCTTTTGGGTATGTTGTTTAACCTATGTGGGAAGCAGCTCCAGCATTAGCCTACCTAGGTCCTCTGCAATCAGATGGATAAAATGTTGTGCACGCCTCAAAAATAAGATTTAAAATTTTTTCTGTAAGTTTTTAAGTTTTTTTGTGATAGGGTATCACTATGTAGCAGGCTGGGCTTGAATTTTTTTTTTTTTTTTTTTTTTGTCTTTTTGAGACAGGGTCTCACTATGCAGTTCAGGTTGGCCTTGAACTCACTTTGTAGCCCAGGCTGGCCTCGAACTCTCAACGACCCTCCTGCCTCAGCCTCCTGAGTGCTGGAGTTATAGCCGTACCTGGCTGAATTTTTTTTTTTTTTTTTTGAGATAGGATCTCACTGTGTAGTTCAGGCCATCCTTGAACTCAGCCTCCCCACCGACTGCTGGGACAACAGGCACGTGCCACCATGCCCGGCAAAAATAAATTCTGCTTTTTACTAAATAAATTCTTAAAAAGCCAAAAATTATTTAGAAATTAACTTCTTGATATTAAAAAAAACTCCCTTAGTCCCTGACCTCCTCCCCACCCTCTGTTCCAGAAAACACCCCGCCCATCCCCCAGCAGCAGGTGAGGGGGTCCCCACCCCAACACCGCTCTGCTCAGAGCCCAGAGGTGAGGCGATCATCTGGGACGGCACCCTGGGTGTGGGCCCCGCTCACAGCGCAGTCTCCAGTGGCCAAAGCCCGCTCCTCTAGCTGAGGATGCAGCTGCTTCTGAGGGGCACAGTGCAGAGACCGCGCCCTGCCCAAGGCCAGGCTGGGAGCCCAGGAAGACGGAGTGCACCTGGACACCAGCTGCCACGTCCTGATCTGGAAGTTCTGTGTTAATGTTCACGGGCCCTAGGCAAGAGTGGCTGGCTGGGGAGACCTCTGCGGCCAGTCCCAGCTTGAGCCTTCCCTGACCATGACCCCATTTCCGGTCACACTCTGGTGACAGGCCAGCAGGACCTCGGAGAAACCCCAACCCAGACCCATCCGGAGCCTGGGTCAACGTGTAAAACAAACCAAATTTATTAATAACTAGGAATGCTGCCCACCAAATGGTGCAAACTCATCATCGGATCGGCAGGAGCAGGGGAACCGAGGGCCTTCCAATTCCGGGGCTCTCAGGACTGTCCACCAGGGGGCAGATGCGCTCCATCGCTGCCCAGGGCCCAGGCGAGCAGAGACCCAGCCAGGCTGGGCAGTCTGACACCTTGATGCCCGGGCAGAAAGCCCTTGTGGTCTCCGTGGTCACAGGAAGGCTCTCCTCCCCCACAGCAGTTCAGCTGCCAAGTTCAAGTCCAGTGGAATTCATTAACAAGGATCCAAGTACCTGAGGCTGAACAGGCCTTTCCGGGGGTCGCCAACCCCTTCTTTCTAGAATCTGGTCACGGCCGCCCACGTTCCTGCCTTGCCAGTGGGGAAGAACTGGCTTCAGCTGCTTCAGGGTGGCATCCACTCTGCAGACTCCACGACACACAAAAGACACAGACGCAGGCGCTTGGCTTCTCACATCCGCTGGGCATCATCACGGGCACAGTACCAAAACGGCTCTTCGGCTGCCCCGGGGCCAGGGTGCTGGGGGCGGGAGGTTCTGGGCAGGTCCAGGCTGAGGTAGGAGAAGGTGGCTGCAGAGGCCTGAGACCTCCCTGGTTCTGAAGTCCCCAGCGTGGCCTTGAGCCGTTCACCGTTCATGGGAGGGTGTGCGGGGAGGAGCAACGGGCATTTTGCAGAACATCAAAGGTGAAGGGCGCCAAGGGCACCGGAAGGGCTGCTTTTGTTGGATTTTTGCAGACAGGGTCTCAGGACCGCAGGTGTGCACCACCATGCCTTGGCTTTGTTGCCTTCTTGACCTGCATGGCGCTCACATTTTTGGGGGTGCTGGGGTTGCTCAGAGCACTGAGCATGCTGAGACGCGCTTTATCCCTGGGGCACCTGCGCCCCTCCGGGGCCTAGGTCTGACATCTTGGCTGTAGCATGGAGTAAAGACGCCTGCCTGGGCCCGCTGGGCATCAGATTTTCACAGCGGGTACCAAAGAACAAGCTGTAAGTGGTTTGGAGGTGGTACCTTCCAAAAGCCCTGAGCCAATCTGAGGGGCCCGTGTCCCCTACAGGGCCGCTACTCCCTCCTCCCCATGGAACCCTCTGACCAGTGGTCTCCCCTCCGCAGGGCCATCCTGCGGGCTCCGCATCCAGGCCGAAGTGCTGTCCTCTCCCCACGGGTGACACGCAGCGTCCCTCCTCCCAGCAAGCCTGGCAGAAGGGAAGGATGCTGGGGCCTCTGGAAAGCCAGAATCAGCTCAGAGTCCAGGGTTTAGAAGAAAAAAAAAAAGCCACTAGGGGCTTGGAAGTCAAATGTGCAGGTCCAGCTGGGGTCGGGTACAGGTACAACAAGGGCACGTCCCACAGGTTCATGCCAGCCACCAACCATGAAGGACTTGCACCATGCTAGCAGGGTTTTCCCGCCACTGTAGTAACCTGAGCCGGAAAGAGCCACAGAGGCCCGCGGGGCACAGGGGCCTGGGAGGAATGGAGCGGCCCTGCCGGGCTCAGCCCCCTTTGGCTGTGACATGACCCATACCAGCCCTGTTAAGTGAGCTTCATGCCCTGGTCGAGCTCGCCGAGGGGCAGGGACTTCTCCAGGCTCTGCAGCAGAGCCTCCGGGGTCTCCCGCGGGGACTGAAAGGGGCACTCCTCCTGGGAGAAGGGGACTTGCTCATCCTTTGGGCAGCCCGAGGGGCTGGCGTCTAGGTCCTCTGTCGAGGTGCCGGCTTGGGAGGGGCACTGCGAGCTATGCTCAGAGCTGCTGCAGACGTTCACGATGCAGGTGACATTGACCTGGGTCCCGTGGCCACCAGAGGGAGACTCTGCCGATCACAAAAAGGGAGGACATCAGTCCAAGGGTCCTGGAACACAGGGTGTCCCCGTGGTCTGCCTGGGGCCCAAGACGCAGATTAAGGTGTGTGGGAAAAGCTGGCATCGCCCCCCCACAGCCTGCGGCCCTGGAGCCTCCATCCCCAGGCACCTGTCTTCTGTCCCCCAGCTGCTCCAAGATCCCACTGCTGATCTCCCAGACACACGCACCGCTGGGCCACTACTGGAGCCCTTCAGGACTCGGGGCCTTGCACCTGCTACTCCTGCAGCAGGAAATCTCCTTATATGCACAGGTCTCTCCTTCCTGTCCCTCAGGCCTCACTCAAAGGCCACTTCCTCCAAGAAGACTCCCTGGCCTCCCTCTCCAGACACATTTGTACCTTCCTGTCCCAACCATCATTGCTTTAGTCCCTCATCCAAGCCCGCTAGACACTGAGCCCAGAGGGCAGGGACTTTTTGACTGTTCCTTGCTATGGGTAAGAAGCAGCCCATGAATGCCAGGCATGGTGACACACATCTGTCATCCCAGCACTGTAGGAGGCTGAGGCAGGAGGATCGCCACAAGTTCAAGGCCAGCCTGGACTACATAGTAAGTTCAAGCCCAGCCTGTACTACACAGCAAGACCCTCTCTCAAAAAAATCAAAAAACAAAACAAAACCAACAAACAAACCAAGAAACCCCACAGATATATTTTGTCCTTGGTGGCGGTGGTATGCTTTATTGGGTTTTTGTTTTGTTTTGTTTTTTGTACTGATGATTGAACCAGGGCCTTCACACTGAAGCCAACCCCTTTCATTTATTTGAGACAGGATCTCCAAGTCATTAAGTTGCTCAGGCTGAGCTGGAGCGCGCAATCCTCCTGCCTCAGCCTCCCAGAGTGGTGGGATTACTGGTGTGTACCACCAGGCCCAGGCAGTGTTTTTAAGTGAATCTGAGGTGGGGTTAGAAAGAGTCTGGGTGTGTGGCCTCCCTTGGGAGCCAGGCACCTGGGACTTGGCCACAGCAGGCCGTGCACCTGAAGCAGCTGGCAAGAATGACTTCAGGGCAGGGTGGCCCAGCTGGCTGGGGATGAATGTCAGGGCCTTCGAGAGCCTCGGCCCCTCCAGGACGGACAGCTGCAGCCACTGCAGTGTGAGCGCAGGGCCAGCACGGGGCAGCGGCTCTTCCCACTCCTGCCCCGCCCATCCTCCGACTTCCTGCAGGAACCCAGGGGCGGGGGGACCACCATGGCACCACCACCTGCCCTGCTCAGAGCCACCACACACAGGCCCAGGAGAGGCAGGGCTGAAATCGTGGGGCCGGAAAGAAATTTCCACCCCAAATGTCACCAAGAGTCACCACGGCCTTTGCGCCTCATGATGAGACACTGTGGGGGCGGCTGGGGCACAGGTCTGGGGCTCAGAGGCACCCGAAGCGGAGAAAGGCGCTGGGGAGGGCAGCCACGCACGGAGGCCAGGGAACGGCTCAGAACTGGAGATGGAGCAGAGCCGACAGGGACGGGGGACAGGTGGACAGGGGCCAGTTTTCCGGGACTGGTGCTGTGGCCATGAGTTCAAGGCCAGCCTGAACTACACGGCCCTGACATCGGCCTGTTGGGGGCAGCGGCTGTGCTGGGAAACACAGGGCGCTCGCATCAGCGTGAGCGGGGAGTCAGGTGGCCGTGGGGTGTCACGAGGACCGGCAAGAGGCCCGGCAGGCCAGGGACAGCACGGGTGGCAGCTGCCAGTCTCCTTGGGGAAGCGGCCCAGAGGGACAGTGATCGCCAGGAAGGTGCCCAGCCCTGCCAAGCAGGTGCCACGCTCATCTCTGGACGAGGAAACTGAGCCCCAGTGGGATTAAAAAGGCTGCTCAGGTTCTCCAAGGCCCAGAGCAGCTGGACAGGGGCCTGGGGGTGAGCAACCTCACGGCCACTCCCTGTGGTGCCGCTGGCTGGGCCTGCAGACCACAGGCAAGGAGAGGCACAGGCAAGAGGACTTCACCTCCCTGCTGTAAACAAGACCAAGGAAACCCCAGGGACTCGGGGACAACCGAGATGCTGACCCAGGTGACACGTGTCACAGATCTGGCCCGGGCAAACGCACTACCACGTGCTTTTGTTTGTATGGTTTGAGACAGGGTCTTGCTACGTAGTTCAGGCCAGCCTTGAACTCACTATGCAGCCCAGGCTGGCCTCAGACTCATAGGAGCTTGGGGAGCCCCGAGGAGCAGCCGGTGCAGCTGGGGGTGACAGCATGGACAACGTCAGGGAAATTCTCCCATCCCAAGGCGAAAGGCAGGTGGCGGCAGGGGAGTCCGGCAAAAAGAAGGGTGCTCAGGACCAGCACAGGGAAGATGGGGGAGCCTGGTGGGGTCAGGGACTGAAAGCTGCTCCTTGTGGTTCTCCTGACAGCGGGGCAGGGACTCGCTGGGCACAGACCAAGCAGACCACCAGAGGCAAGGCCCAGAAGGAAGGGGGCAGGACACAAGCCAGGTGAGACACACAAATGGCCCCCAGCCTCCAACGGTTTGAGTTGAAATGATTCAACTTCCCACGGATGCAAAACTGACACGCATTCAGTAGAAACTGTAGTTAGAATTTCAAATTTGGGGCCAGGCATGGTGGTGCAAGCCTGTAATTCCAGCGCTCAGGAGGCTGAGGCAGGAGGGTCACCTGAAATACATAGCGGGACTCTTATCTCAAAAAACAACAGTAAAAAAGGCCCCAGCAACAATCACGAAAAGAGTTTCAAATTTTCCACAGTGACATAGGTAGGCAGGAAGCTCCAGTGTCCTGTAGGCCTGATGTGCTAAGTGCAGTTTCCACTGAGACATCTTCAACAGGATGGGGTTCTTGGGGCGTAATCTCATCCATACAAAGGAGGACCAGCCCAGGTGCGCTCCTGCCTCTTACCTGAGATCCTGGAGCTGGCCCGGGTCTCCCCACCCGCCTCGGCCTTCTCTGTGCCCGGAGCAGCGGCGCTGGCCGCGCTCTCCAGGGAGCTGCTGCTGGAGCTGGGCGCCGTAGTGAGCAGCAGCTGCTGCTCCACGCCGGTCACACCGCGGATCCTATCCACAGGCACGTGAGGCTGCAGGAGGAGGAAGAGACGTCAGCGCCCCCAGACAGAGCGCCCCCTGCTGCCCACCTGCATGCACGCTTCACAGATGACGCCACACCTCCGCCCACGCCTGCGCACTCTTCCCCACACAGCGCTTTCAGGAGGTGTGATTGGCTGCGCTCCCTGCCGTCAGCAACTTGCCGCTCTGCTCAGCATGCACCGGTGGGACGGGACGGGGCCGTGCGGCCTTGCTCACCACATAGTTTTAAGGGTGGGGCAGGGTTTTCATCCTGCTTGTGCACAAGGACAGGGAAGGAAAGCCACTTTCTAAGGTCACCCGTTAGCACGGGGAGAGGCAGCCCAGCCTAGCAGCCAAGGCATGGAACCCAGATCGAGCCCACGCAAGGCACATCAGGGCTCTGCCGCACCCTGGAGGGGTGACCTTGAGCCAGTTACTTCACCCCACTGTGCCTCTCGGCTCCCAGCAGAGAGGGAGAATAAGGACTTGCAGGAAAGTGCTAAGAACAGTGACTGCTGCACTTGAGCCCTGCCCGAAAGTCTTGGGTTTTGTTTTTGTTTGGTTTTTTTGATTTTTTGTTTTTGAGGCAGGGTCTCGCTGTGTGATTCCGGCTGGCCTTGAACTCACTCCATAGCCCAGGATGGCCTCAAACTCACAGCAACCCTCCTGCCTCAGCCTGGGGAGTTTGTTAATTCAGAAGTGGGCAAAGTACTGCCCGGGGGCCACGTGCAGCCGGCTTCTTATTTTTGTGCACCTTGTTCAAGTGGCTCAAAAATGTGTTAAAGAATAAGACCGCCCGCCATGCGACGATGAGGCGGGCAAGCCGGGGTGTCCGTGAAGGGTCCCACAGGACACAGCCTCCAGGCGTAAGTGGCTAAGCTGCTGGCATGGAGACTGTGCTGTCCGTAAGCCTAACACTCTCACTGTCCGGCCTTGGCAGAAAAGGTCGCTGACCCTGTGGTCAGCCAGCCAGTAGCACCGCAGCCCCCTTCATTCGGCCTTCAGCGGCACTGCCTCAGCCTCCCTCCCAAGCGCCCACCCGGCTGCTCTGACTTCTCTAGTGTCTTTTTCCCGCAGAGCGATGTTAGCTGGCGTCTGAGCTCCACCCAGTGCCCGCTCTGCTCTAGTCCCTCCAGACACTGCTCCACGGACTCTCCCACCTGTGTCACCCTGGCTGTGCAGGTGTGGAAACTGAGGCACAGAGCGGCTAAGCGACTTGTCCAAGGTCACAGGTAGAAAACAGTGGAGCTGAGCCCATAATGCCTTTTCCGGGTGTCTGGGGTTTCCGCTCTGGACACTCAAGACAAGACCCCTGGTTTCTGGACACCTCGGCTGGGCCGCCCAGAAATGCCACCGCAGGGCTGTTCATTGTCTGTCCACATGGACGGGACAGGCGTGGAGCCTTGGGGCTCTGGGTGATTGCTGGGCCCCGGACAAAAAGCAGACGGCAGAGGTCTCTGCTGGAAGCCCCTGGGCTGCGCGGGATAGGGTGAGAATGCAGAAGCGTGAACATCAGGCAGGACGGGCCTGGCGTGGGAGGGACAGGCGAGAGGGCCAGCACGTGGGCAGGGTGGGCTGGACGGTCACAGGCACGGTGCTGCCAGCCTCCACCCCGGCCAAGGCTAAGACCCTGGGTCCATCCACAATTCCAGATGTGGTCTGAGCAGAGGCAGGCGCACAGCTGTCTGGCCTTGAGGCTGCTCCTCTCCGGCCAGTAGCCGCAGCCCCCAGCTCTAACCCCACCCACCCGTGGCTTCAAGATGCCTGTGCCTGCCCCTGACCTGGGCTGCTTCCCCACCCCCAGCCCTGCCCTGAGCTGGGAGGCCAAGGCCAGGGATCCAAATGTCACTCCCTACCACCTCCAGAGAAGGGGCTTTTCTGCCCGGGCCGCACCCCTCAGCTGGTGGTTAGAACCACCAGGCAGAAGAGAAACCCCGAAGGTCACAGCCCACCTCCCTGTTCCAAAGCCGAACGCTGCAAAGTTCAGGAACAGCTGCCGCCCCGTGGGGGAGGACAAGGAGACACCTTGCGAACTCAGCTGCCCCCTCAGCTCACGGCCAAGCCCACTGTGCAGGGCAGAGAGGCTGGCGGAGCCGCTGGCTGGCTCCTGTGGGTGTCCGTCTGTCTGTCTCTGACTGAGCGTGTGTCTGCAGGCTGCGGGCATGGGAAGCGCGCACATAAGCGTGTCCACGTGTGGAGGCCATGTGCCTGAGACAGGCACAGTGTAGCTATGCTAGGGCAGTGACAGAGACAGCCCTGGGTTTGTGTCCTAGCTTATATTCATCAGCTGGGCACCTTGGGAAAAGTTGCTTAACTTCTCCGGGCCAAGTGACCTGGACTGTAAAACTGGAGCAAGGAGCATATTCCTGTGTGTCACAGGCTGTGAAAATAAATAACGCTCAGCACCCAGCGAGTGTCTGCACCGGTGACTAACGCGTCTGCCCGCGAGTGTGTGGGGGTGTGCTTTTCCTAAACAGAAGGAAGCCACTGACCCCGAGCCCGGGGAGAGGGCTGGCAGTGAGTTGCTACTCGCTCTGCAGCGCTGGGGCATTCCCCGCTGGGCCCCAGCAGGGACCGGTGCCAGCTGCTGCCTGAAGGGGCACAGAGTGGGCACAGACCAAGCAAGGGGTGGGCAGAGGTAGGAGGACACATGGGGGCGCTGGTGCTCCCTGCCCACAGGGACGGGTGAGGATTGGGGGAAGAGCCTGGCTCAGAAGCTGCCAGGAGAGGTGGCCCTGGCCCACACTCACACAAGGAGCGAGGCCCTGGGACTGGCAGGTGGGCATGACAGGCAGCCACAGAAATGCACTGACACTGTCTCGACGGGTGCCCCACCCCTAGAGAGCCGGCTCCCTGCCCACGTGGCCTCTGCGCGGCTTCAGCACGCAGCGGCTGGGGCCCCCTCTCTGTGGACACAAACTCCGTGGCAGAAAAGGAAGCAGGGGCACCTGGACCACACCCCGGACACTTCAGTGCCCAGACTGCGGGGACACACGTGGTCGGGAAAGAAGAGGTGGCACTGGGCCGCAGGAGAACTTAGAGGGGAACTTAGAAGGGCCAGCTGTCACTGCCATGAAGCCGGAAAAGGGGAAGAGTGGGGTAGCGAGAAACCGTCTCATCCTCACTAAACACTGCAGGGCGGGGCAAAGAGCACGGGCTGGGAGTCCAGAGACACTGCTCTGGATGGGCAGCGCCTCTACCGGCAAAATCAGGAGAGGGAACCCAGGGATATGATTTCTGTTTCTTTTTTTCCAATGATACCGATTTCAAAAGCCCTGTGTCAACCCTAGGCCCTGGGCCACCCAGGGCTCCTGCGCCTCCCGACCCTGGACAGACCACAGAACTCGTGGTTTCTGGGGTGACAACTCAGCCAGCAGGGAGAGGACCCAGGAGACGCCGGGAGCCGGCAGAGGGACACTCACCACCTTGGCTTCTCGCTGTAGGCAGATGGGCTTCTCTGCAAGGACAAGGGGACACATCAGACAGTGTGACCGCACCAGTCCACTCCCCTGGGCCACCCACGCCACCCAGCAGCCCCGCCTAGCTCTCCCTAGGGCGCCCCCTCTCCTGCACATCCCCCCCCCATGGAGACCCTGCACCCAGAGCTCCAGATTCTCAGGCTTCCAGAACAACCCCTAGGACAACCTGAGGGCCCCTTGTCTTCTGGTAAGCGAGCAGAGATGCCTCCGCCCCAGGATCTAAGCTCCAATGGAACCCGACTACCGTCTCCGGGTCTATCTGAGCCTAAGGTAGTGCGCGCTGCTAGACTCCTGGAGGCACCTGGAAACGCTCCCTGGACTGTGCATGAAAAACAGAATGCAATCTTACTTTTCCTCTGGCTCAGGATGACACAGTTCACCAGTCCAATGACCAGCAGCCCCAGGGCCGTCAGACCCACGATCAGTCCTAGGAAGAAAGGAGGCGCTCACAAACCAGTGTGCAGGTGCTGGGGACCCCGGGTAGCTGCGGTTGTTGCCTGGGAGGAGCGAGTCTGACCACATGTGTCAGCGGGCCACACACACATGGCACAGTCCCAACCCCAGAAGGGACACGGGTGAGACCCTGGACCCAGCCCACTGCCCTGTCCACGGATTCATTCAGGGGAACCTGTCTTTCCCGACATGGGGACTCTCAGGGACAGGAGCAGGTCTTGGGCGGAGACCCAGCTCACTGGCACCAGCATCCCAGGGTAGAGCAGAGGGTCTGGCACACAGCGGGCTGTCAGTAAGACAGAGAGGAAGAAGAGGGAGGAAGGGGCCTGCTGTGACCTACCGACTGGAAGGGACAGGCCGTTCTTGCTCTTTCCAGTCGGGGGCTCGAGGCCCTCAGGGAGCAGGAGGGCCGTGCTTGGAACTGTGCCAGGCGCTGGAGTGGGCCCCCCAGGCTGGGCTCTCGGGGACACAGACCGGGGTGTGCGAGCTGGGCCCGGGGCTGCTCCCAGGGTGGGGGCCATAGACTTGCACACTGCATCCGTTGTCACATTCCCAGGGACGGCCACCGAGCTACAGCTGCAGGAGAAGGAGGAAGGCAGGGGACAGGAAGTGAGGGTGTGTGCCACGCCTTCTCTGCACGCCCCTGCCATCCCTGATGCCTCCGCCACGCGCCCCACCGCACCCCAGGACCCGGCCCTGAGCACCCAATCCTCCGGCACGGCACGGTGGCTCTGCCTCAGACCCCAGACACACAGGCACCACACGCCGCCCCTCTTTCAGAGCCACTCAGCCACTCACTTGCGGTGGGGCCTGCAGACTTCCGTGGACGAGGAGGTGCTGGAGAACGTGCCTGGGGTGCAGGGGGCACAGCGCACGTCTGAGGTCGCAGTTCCTGGAAGGGCACAGCGGGGGCCAGGTCAGGGCTCAAACCTCACGAAAGGGGGTCTTGTCTTAGAACCCCAGGGGCGGCCTAGAGACCCTCACACTCCCGTTTGCACCTCCTTCACACCCGCGCACACAGCTGGTCTCCCGGGCGTCTAGATTCTCCTTCCTGCAACAGCTTTTTTTTTTTTTTTTTCAGTACAGATTAAGCCCAGGGCCTTTGCACTGACCTACACTCCCAGACCTTTTGATTTCTTATGTTGAGACAGGATCTCACTAAGTTGCTAAGCTGCCCAGGCTAGGCTTGAACTTGGGGTTCTCCTACATCAGCCTCCCAGAGGGCTGGGGTTGATTATAGATGGCACCACTGAGCCCAGCTATCGAAGCATCTTCTGATGGTCCCGTTGCTGAGGGCTTATTTGATTCGCTTTTGGGGGGGGTCTTTTTTGGGGGGGTCTTTTTTTGGGGGGTCTTGCTATGCAGTTCAGTCTGGACTTGAACTCACTTTGTACCCCAGGCTGGTCTTGAACTCCCAGCCATCCTCCTGCCTCAGCCTCCCGAGTGCTGGGATTACAGGCGTGTGCCACCATGCCCGGCTTGATTCGCTTTTGGCCCCTGAGGCCCTAGTATCCAGAAGGAGCCTAACAAGGAGTGCAGGAGAGCGGTGCACCTGGCCACCCTGACAACGCCACTGGCTGGGCAGAGGAGTCAACATCCACAGGGTCCCTGTACCTGGCCTGGCCACGCCGTAGCCCGGAGGACACCTGCGCAGAAGTATGCACTGCCGGCAGCTGTCCGGATTCCCCAGCATGCAGAAACGGCCAGGCTTGCAGGCACAAACGCGGTTCCGCTGCGGGGTGCACGCCTGAGTTTCCACCTGGTCTGGAGGAGAGGAGGGCAACCAGGGTCAGGCCTGCCTGGCCACGCCCACTTCAACACCCCCGTCTGACCACGCCCACTTCAACACCCTCTGTATGGCCACGCCCACTCTGGCCTTCCCACTGCCTAGCCACGCCCATCCCACCCTCCTGGCCTGCCCTGCAAGACACCGCAGCAAGACACGGCATAGGCCAGCCTTCAACGGGCACCGTTCTCCCGCAGCTGCCCCGAGCCCAAGCCGAGAATTCAGGCAGCATTGGGGAAAGGTCCCGAAGGCAAATGCCACATTTGAACTGGAAGAAACTGCACCCGGGCCGCCGCAGGTCGGGTGCAATGCGCCCAGGGCAGACGCTGGGCCGCCCTCTCCAGGTCCACTTACCAGAGCTGCAGGGCGAGCCGCAGCTAAAGCACGTGGAGACCCAGTTCCAGACCTGGGTGTACGTGCTGTCCTCGCAAGGGGCACACACGGTGTCAGAGGTCTTGGTGCAGACGGTTTTCAAATGCTGGCCTAAGAAAGCAAGCAAGTCTCAGCAGGGTGGGGCTTCTTCCGGGACACAGGGCTCATCCCCTGCTCCTCCGAGTCCCACTCGAACTGCCTCATCGATTCATCTCACATCTGGCAGGAACCAGCCATGACTCCATCTCTGCACCCCTTTGACTCATAAAATATCTTCCCCTCTGCTATCTCCAGATGTCTGAAATTCCACCACTGGAAACCTGTTATCAGTCAATCACACTCTAGTAAGAACTGGTTTGCTAGCTCCTAGAAATAAAAACTGGAGGAGGGGGAAGGAGACAGCAAGAGCACAGTTCCACTATCAAGGATGAGGGCATGGGGTTCCTGAAGGCCCAGAGGGAGGCACAGCAGACAACAGGAAGGTGCCAAGGCAAACCCTGAAGGAGTCTGCCCCTCTCAGTACTATTCCTACCTATTCCCCCCTGCCAATTTTACTGCTGTGCTTATCTCATGGATTTTGATTTTGAGACAGCGTCTCCCTAAGTTGCTAAGTTGCCCAGGCTGGGCTCAAACTTGGGATCCTCCTGCCTCAGCCTCCAAGAGTGCTGGGATTAATAGCATAGAATATGCAGTTAACAGAAGCAAGGTCCCTTTGCCTGGGGTTTCTTAAAATGGGTTTAGGAAAGACACATCCTACAGCTCAATCAAATGGCTCCAAGCTTCCAGGGGCTTCCAGACTCTAACCCCCTCCCCATAGCTGCCACTCACCCTGCCTCCCTCCCCTCCTGCAGGGCTCGGCCAGTGTCACCCCCTCAGGGACACCTTCCCCGACCCCGTAATACAGCAGGGCCCTTTGCTCTGTCTCAACCATCCCCTGGTCATGTTCCCTTCCCCAAGCTTCCTGAGAGCCAGGAGTGTACCTCTATTTATTTATTTGTCTGTGGGCTGAGCTCACGAGCAGATGCTACATGGGCAAGAGAAAGCTCAGCTGAGGTCTAAAGAACACCTTGAAGTTAACCAGGAAAGGGAGCTGGGACTGCAGCAGGCAGAGGCATGGATGTGCAAAGACCCAGGGGCAACACCCCCCCACGCCTGGCCGCCCCTCACCAGGCTGACACATGCTGCAGCACATCCCAGCGGTCTTCTCGTAGTAGTCCCTCGGCCTGCATTCTGGCGCGTGGGGGCTCCCGGGCTCTGGTGCATAGGGCACAAACACAGACTGGAAAGAGAAAAGGCAGCTGTCAGCCCCCGAGACACTGTCACCCTGGCCCTGTCCTGCACCAGCTCGGCCCTCTGCCTGCTGGGGCTCCTCCTCCTCTGGCCTCTCTTGGAACATGGATATGACCTCTTCTAGCAATGTCACTGTCCCCAAATGCAGCCCTTGCTTGTCCTTCCACCCTCGTGGGTGTGTCTGCACAGACATCTCCACACGCACCCCTACGCGCAGGCCTGGCCATCACTGGATGCAGCCGGGACAGGGCTGGCTCCGGAAGTGAACATCAGCCGGAACCAAGGGCACGGACGTCCTGGCGCACTATGGCACACAGGCGTTGCAGTTCCAAGGGCCTCAGGCTGCTCGCTGGACGCAGCTCCCGTCCCCGGCCTGCTCCCCGTGGCCGCTGTGTTTGGGGACACAGGCTGTCCAGCTGAGAGGCCGCCTGCCCCGCTTCCTGGAAGCCCTCCCAGGACTTGACGGCCCGGAAACCCCAGCTCAGGCTCTGCTTCCGGAGCCGGGACCGAGCAGGAGCGTCTGCCGCTCCCAGTCCAAGTCGCTCTGCACCATGGCCCTGTGCAGAAGAGCACCGAGGCGGGAGGAGGGCAGGGCACTACCCCCAGGTCCCAGGGCCAGGGACACAGGGGGATTTGAACCCAGATCCTGTCTGAGCTCATGGTTCGTGCTCTGGGTTACGCCACCCTGGGCCTCCGCGAAGAGAAAAGCAGCAAGTGAAAAGAAAGAGGAAGGAGAAAAGAGAAATGGGGCACAGGGCTGGACACTGACAAACACAGAGTGCCTCCCTCGGACACGAGTGACCGTCCAGAAGTGCAGGGCAGCAGCGGCAGTCGCCACTGTGTCTGTCCCTGAGTCCCGGTCTTCCCTCCAGAAGGCGGGACCCTCCGGCCACCAGCTGCTGCGAGACTGCGCATGCTCAGAGCGCTCGCTGGGATCGCGTGGGCAGGCAAACACAGGCGTGTGCCTGTTTACACAAGCAACGGAGGAGGTGTGCACACACTTCCCCAGAGTCCCTTGCAGCCCCGCAGACAGAGGGCACCCCGAAGTGACCAGGAGGGCCCTTCTAGGTCAGAGTTGAGGGCTGGCTCGTGCCTCATGGTACCACCAACTGCAATCGCGTGGCGGCAGCTCAATTAACCTTTACTGAGTGAACCGTCAGACCTCTCCCCAGATAAGCTTGTTGAGTCATAGGCCTAGTTTCAATTCCTCATTCCACTACTTAGCAGCTGTGCAGACCCAGGCAAAGGCCTTAACTTCTCCCGACTTCACTTCCAATACAAGGGAATAAGATGATCACTCCAAATCCCCACCCCCTCCCTTTTTCTAAAAAAAATTTTTAAACAGAGACTCCTTATATAATTCAAGCTAGTCTTGAAGTATGGAGCCGTGTTGGCCTCGAACTCGTTGAGATCCTCCTGCCTCAGCTTCCTGAGTGCTAGGATTACAGTTATGTACCACTACACCCAGCTCATCCAAATATTTAACAACCGTAACACAGGGACTCACCAGTCACCTTGGACAAGCCAGGTAGGACAGATGCCAACCATAGTAGTTACTGCCCATCCCGTGCAGACCTGGCCAAGCTCCCCCCGTCTGAGCGGGGAGGTGGCTGCCTTTGTTTTCCCCGCCCTAGTACAGCCTGGGGTTGTGACTGCCTGGAGCCGTGTGGCCCCTGCCACAAGTGACAAGCAGGCCTGTAACCCAGCTGTCTTCCCCGCTGGGCCCGGCTGTGTGCAGCTTGGTGCCGACAGCTGGAAGCCATCAGGACAGTGACCTACAGGGCTGGCTTTCAGGCTACGTACTCTCAGTGGCTGCTCTCATCCCAGGTCCCCCAACTGTCTCCTGCTTCCTCTGACAAAATCCCACGCATCCCCTAAGGGCCCTTCTCAGCCGGCAGCCGCCCATGGTAGGCTCCCTGCTTGTGCCCCACCCTGAGTGAGTCACCCAGAATCCTGACCTCCTCCTCCTCCTGGCTCCTGGCAGACACGGCTGCCCGCCGAGCCCGCTGGCTGGGGCTACTGCGCCCAGGAGCCTGGCATGGATGGGTGCTCGATAGCTGCTCATCAAAACAGAGACGTCACTTCCCAGGGCAGGAGTCTGACCCCAGCACGAGGGCCAGCAAGCCTAAACCTGAAAGTACCCAGCACCAGGCCGGCCTCTGAGGCCCACCCCACTCCAGACAATCCGCGGTGGTGAGGCTGGAAGAAATGCAGGAGGCTGGGTTAGAGGAGTGGGCGCTGCAGCACCTAAGTCTGAGTCACTGGGATCCTTCCAGACTGTCACTCACACATGCCTGGAGGCACACGCATGCACACACACGAAGAAACACACCCACACACGTATGAAGTATGAGCAAAATACATGGTGGACATCTACATTAAAATTTCTGTTACAGTAAGACACGCTGCCATGAATCCCCATGGAACACACTGACCCCGTCGTGCTGGCCTCTTTCTGAAGTAGCCGCGGAAGTCCTTTTTCAGGTTCTTAAGAGGTGTCATCACAACTATAGTAACTGCTGCTGCTGCAGGCAAAAGTGTGATGGGTGTCCTCGTCCACCCTGTTCGCCAGAACTGGTGTGCTGAGACTTCGAACTCTTCCCCAAGGTCAAAACGACCGAGAAAGGTAACACTTGAATCAACTCAGGACACTGAGGCAGGCACAACAGCAAAACTAAAAACACTCATGAAAGCCAGATGCAGTGCACACCTGTAGTCCCAGCAACTGGGAAGCCGAGGCAGGAAGATTGCCACGGGTTCAAGGTTAACCTGGGCTGCATAGTGAGTTCAAGGGCAGACCCCGTTTCAAAAAACTAAAAAGGAAAAAAATACACTCACAGAAGAGGAGAACTTCCAGAACTTGAGAAAGTGGCAAGAATGATGGGATAAGTGTGTTCGAATTAGGAAGATTTTTGAGGGGGATGAATGTCTTTTTTACTGTAACAATTTTTCCCTTTTCTATGAGTACATGTTTGTGATACACAGTAGGTATACTCATCATGGGGAACTGGTACAGGTACATGTCACATCTAATCCTTTTTACTTCCCCCTCCGGTCTCCTCCACCCCCAGGTGGCCTGCCTGTGGCCCTTCGATCACACCTCACACCTGCACGCATGCGCACTCACCCGCATACTTCCTCCCAGGGTGACGCTGGATAGCAGGGGACGCCCAGATCTAGCACCCCTACCAGGGCTTCTCACAGCAGTCAGGGCCTCACTGCCTGTGCCCAAGACACCCCGGGGCTGTCACGGGTGCTGACCGCCACCTCCTGTGCAGAAGGCCCTCTCGGGGACCCAGAAGCTGAGCCTCTTAAAAGGGAAAGGAAAAGAGCAGGGAAGTCTTCCCAGCGAAGACAGAGAGGCTCCGTGGCTGAACCCCATCGGGTCTGATTACCTGGCTATGGGGACAGAGCAAGGGGACCTGGAAGGGCTGGGAAGGGGCACACGGACGGGACCAAGGGGAGCCCTAACCAGGGAAATCACACCTTCCGCCACCCCTCTACATATATCATTCAGCTAAATGCTACCTGCTGCGGGAGCCTGACTGTCCCCCACAACACCCCCAAACTAGCCTTCCTAGAGCAGCTGCGCCTGCCCCTAAAACCCCCACCCCACGAAGGAGTTGCAGTAGCCAGCCAGGTCTCAGGGGAGCCCAGAAGCCTGGGCAGTGATAACTAGGGGAGCCCCTCACTCCTGCTCTGGCTGGGGGAGGATTTCCCATCAGGGCCCAAACCGCCTGATGGGAGTGAGCCCTGCCTGGGCCAAGTCCAGGCTCCCTCGTTGCCAGGGATCAGGGCTCCCAGGGATCAGGGCTCCCGGCCGCCAAGGGCAGGCAGCTGGACCCCTCGCCCGAGCCTCCTCCCTCCCACTTCTCGTCTAAAGCGACACTGTGATTAGTGCACTGCACTTCCTCCTGCTGCGTGTGACCCTGGCCAAGCCCAAAGCTGGCAAAGGTGTCAGCCTCCCCCAGCAACCTCCAGGCCTGTTTGTCCTCTTAGATAGAAAAAAAAAAAAAAACCAGAGCCCTGTCACTGCCAAACAATGAGGAACAGAAAGCCCCTGAGCAGAATGGGACAAAAGGTCACTCCCCTGCTCCCCAGAGCAGGGCCTGGACCCAAACCACAGCCTGGGAGCCAGGCCTCCAGGCCACACCACAGGGGCAGCACAAGCTGGGCACCCCAGAGGTCTTCAGAATGTGAGACCATCCCTAAGAAGTGCAGGGCCCGGGAGGCCTCCAGCTCCTTAGGTTGGGGTGGGGATGAGCACCCCATCCACCCCATGGGGGCCTGCGTTCTAAAATGAGGAAATGGACTGACTGAGTCAGCATGTTTATCAGCCTAGGTCCTTCAAAATATAGGGCCCTGGGTGACAATCTGGAAATCACTGAGAGTTAAACACCCAATTAACAGGTAACTGCATGACCCAGTAGGGAGAAAACTGGAGAAGATGGATGGATGGATGGATGGATGGATGGATGGATGGATGGATGGATGGATGGACAAACGGACGGATGGACAGGTAGGCAGATAAATGCTAGATAGGTAGACACAGGCAGGTAGATGACAGATAGATGAATGGATGGAAGTAGACAGATGGATGATGACAGATAATAGCAAAGCAGCAAGAAAACTGTCCTTGAATCTGACATCCAACCAGTGAGTTGGTTCCCACCATGCCCATTTCATGCATGTGAATATGGAGGTGGAGACAAAGCTACCTCCCCAGTGTCCTAGTGGCCGAGGCCATCCTGGGGCATGGAGCCGGGGATTTCTGTGGGCCTCCTGGAGGACGGCCTTGGGCTGGTGCAAAGGGATTTCACTCTGAGGAACACCGGCAGTAATGCGACCCCGGAACAAGGAGTCTGGGTAGGTGGGTGTCTAAAGCCCAGAGGCCGGGGTCTGTGAGCGGCAGCTAAAGGATGAGGTGGCCTCAGGTCCAGGCAAGACTGTGAGCCCCATCTGCCAAGCATGGTGGCGCACACCTGTAAT